TGTGAAAAACCTCAAATCTTACAACTTGAAAGGACTTTGGAGGAAGTGAAAAACAACTGAATTTTTCTTCCTTCTACAAAAAAAATTAATTCATCCCACTTGGGTCTTTTGGTCAGAAGAGAACAGAATGCTGGATTTTGATTGGCTTTTCTCAGTGATGCATTTTCTCACTTTGAAATAAGGCTCTCATCACCAAAGTGGCACAAACACATCTTTATGTATTAGCCCACTTTTCCTCTATTGATTAATTGATGGTCATTCATATCACAACTTACATAACAAGCATTGTTTCTTGGAAACTGTATGGTAACTATTGTGGAAATTGCTACAGTATGACCAGTACTCAGCAGCTAACCAGACAACAAAAATATTTAAAATATTGCCCCTACTTCTTTAATTCCTCTAGTACTTACATCTGGCATACCAAGCCTAAAAAAAATTACAACTGGAATAGTTTCTTTCAATACGTTTAAAAAGTATATTATATATTGCCTGCTTGCTTTTTAACCCATCATTAAAAAGATTGACAAACACCAGGCAAAACTAGAAATGGATATATCAGCTTCTGGTCTATGCCGATGATAATTTACTGGGCAAAAACATTTTTACTGTAAAGAGAAACAGAAGTTATTTTAGATGCTAGTATGGTGGGTGGTATAAATAAAGGCAAAGAAAACTAAATATATATTAATGTCTAATCAACAGAATGCAGGACAAAGCCAGAAATATAAAGTTGACCAATACTCTGAAATTGTGACAAAGTTAAAGTATTTTGGAATGATAGTAATAAAGCGAAATTGCAATCACAAAAAAATTAAAAGCAGATTAAATCTGGGGAATGGTTTTAATAATGCAGTTCAGAATTTTTTGTCTTCCCAACATCTATCTAATTACATTAAAATCAAATAATACAAAACTACTGTATAATTTTGTCAGTTTTGGTGTGAAAGTTGGACTCTTGAGGGTGTTTGAGAATAGGCCAATGAGTAGAATATTTGGTCCTAAGAGGGGTGAAGTGACAGGAGGCTGGAGAAAAATTCATAATGAGGAACTTCAAGATTTTTACTCTTCACTAAACATTATCAAGATAATCAAATCAAGGATAATGTGACTGGGGCTTGCAGCATGTGTAGGAGAGAGATGTATAATGAATATTGTTGAAAAGTCTGAGGAAAGAGACTACTTGGAAGACCTAGGTACAGATGGGAAGATATAAAAATGGATTTTAATGAAATGGGGTGCTAAAGTCTGAAGGATACGGACAGGTGGTGGGTTCTTGTATAGACAGTAACAACACCTTAGGTTCCCAAAACAGAAAGGAAGTTGACTATCTGGGCAACTATTAGTTTCTCAAGAATCCTGAAACCAAGACCTTGCTCAGCTGCTGACAGACTAAGGTGCTAACCATTTGT